GTGTTTTGCAACAATTGTCTAGTGCTGACCTCACCGTCGTTGAGCTTCGGAGATCGTGACTTCAGAACTTTCAGCTTTGGAGATTGGTGGAGCTTTCCCCTTACTCACCTTGATTTCTTAGGTTTTTCACTTAGGCTGGCGTGTGGCACCGCTGTCAGTTCAGTACGCATACCTATAAGTGTGTGTGTGTGTGTAAGCACCTCATTACAAAACTTCGCTTCAAAGACAGGTTTTGAACAACGCTCACATGTCACCGGCAGAAAAAGCACATATCCGCATGTATCATATCCGCATACATGCACATGAGAAGATTGTCGAGTGTTTTAGGTTCAGATATCATGTAATGAACCATTTGGAAGGGCAAGGGGTTTGCGGGGTTCTGGAAGAGCAAGGGGTTTTCAGGGTTTGCGTTGAATGTCAAGCTATTGAAGCTGAAGCTGTTCGAACATGGGACAAAAACATGGGACAAAACTCTTGTCTCACGAGGTTCTTTTTCACTCACTGGAGCAAAAGACATCGCCGACTGTCGCCCCTCAATTTCGGAAACACATTGTGCTGTAAAATGTCTGGGCGTGTGACTCCTCAGGGGATGTGAGGTGTCATACTCTTTCTGCTGGCTGCTCCTCCGTGGCGCGTGCGGTTTTTCACGAAGCGCAATGGACCGTCCGGCGGAGGCGCGCCGCCGCTGCGAAAGCAGAATCTGTCCGGGGGTCCGAGATGTTGCAGATGTGTGGAGTGCGTAGTTAGGGGCTCCTGGCATCGCTACTAGGAGCAAGGACGCTACTAAGGGCTCCTGGCCAAACTACTAGTAACAAGAGGGCTACTTGTGCTACTAGTACTTGTGTTAAGTTGTTTGTTCTTATTGTAAGAGGCTGTTTGATGTGCGTTTCCATGCGGGTTTGATGCAAGATGCAAGATAAACTTTGGAGTATCAGTTCAACACTATCTATCTATCTATTTGTCTGTCTGTCCGTCCGTCCGTCCGTCGGTCGGTCTGTCTGTCTGTCTGTCTCTCTGTCTCTGTCTCTGTCTCTCTGTGTCTCCGTCTCTCTGTCTCTCTGTCTCTCTATCTATCTATCTATTTATCTATCTATCTATCTGTCTATCTATCTATCTGGATTGCAGCAAGAGTCACGAACAGAACTAGCACTTCTTCAACATGCAGTGGTCCATTGGTTTCGGTCCTCCCAAAGCTACAAACTTCGACGTAAACCTTGTGTTTTTGTTCGCATGGGCAGTAAATCCTTGATGTACAACAGTATTCAAACACATACTTCCCTAAACTATTTTCATGGTGCGGTAACATAAAGCAGGTGACTTTCGCAACTTCTCTGCAATGCTGCGTTTCCATACACCCGGGTGACTTTCTGCAAGCCCGTATGATGGGGTCCTGATGCGAAATCGCCAAGGCCTGATTTTGCCACCAGTGTCTGTTTTCTCTGGCTGGAGGGTGCCCGGCAGCAACCTCAGGAAAGTTAGAAAGAAAGCCAAGGGCAAAGGCAAAGGAAAGGGCGGAAAGGGAAAGGCAAAAGGCAAAGGAAAGAGCTTGGCGACAGGAAAAGGCAGCGAAGACAAGCTTCGCTCCGAAAAGAAGGGAAAAGGTGGTGGAAAGGCCAGAGGGGGGTCTGGGAGTGTTTTTTTTTGTTTTACTTGTCTTCTATCAGCAGCCGCACTTTGCGCTCGGCCACAAGGTCAGATTCAATCCAGCAGATGGTTCCAGCAAGTTTTTGAGGATAACACGGAGTCATTTCGTGTCACATCATTACAGTATTGAAAAGCGCATGCCATTGGGTCGTAGCCGGGGTACTAGTTACTAGTTCCATGTTTCCTGGACTGCCGGTCCAAGACTTCATCTCCAGTTTACGGCCGTTTCGGTCGGAACCGAAGCGGCTGAAAGCCGCACGATGTCCTCAAGAGATCCGCAGGAAAGAAGGAAAGGGAAGGTGAAGAAGTGTGATGCTCAGAGTGGAACTGCCTGGCTGATGAACCAAGGGTGAAAGACTTTCGTTGTCCTGCTGACCACATTGTTTCATTCTTTGCATTCTGGCTCTCGACAGTTTGAGCCTATATCATCACATAATATATAGTATATAATACATAGTATATAGTATATAGTATATAGTATATAGTATATGTACCGTAGGTTTTGTCCTCGAACAGATACTAGTTGGTGCTTGCGTTGCATGAGGAAGGGGAAGAAAGCCGCCTGAAGCCTCCGATGCCTGTGCATCTCGGTCTTGCAGGGGTTGGCTTACTGTGCATCACATGTGACACCGTGGTGATGTTTGCAACAGACCGCCCTTGACTCATCTGAACAGAGAGGAAGGTCGTGGCAGGATCCGGTAGGACCCATCAGATCAAGAGCAACCAAGCATCCGATCTTCAACCCTGCGCAGGTTGTTCTTTTTCATCTCATGGAATAAAAACTCGTCATGTTTTCCACTGGATTTTCATTCAGACTGGTGCTTAGTAAGGAATCTCTATTGGGGGCTTCCCTCATTCCCTACGAGTCGCACGAGTCGCTGCACTCCCGGACGGGCATGTTTCATCACGAACGGCTCAGGTGCCAGTCGGCTGTGAGAAAAAGGGACCGGACGACTGGACTGTCCTGGACATGCTGTGGAAAGAAAAGACGGGTTAAAAAACACCGTCCCAGGACTTGGGGTCATACTGCATCAAGTATGGCAAACAATGTGTAACAGCTATGTTTTTTTTGGTTCCCATACGGCATGCGTGGTGACTGGATTCTAGGGTTGATGTTGGAGGATTTTTCCGCCCCCCCCCGGCAAAGTTCATGAAAAAGACCGACAGCAGCCGAAGCTGAATGGGATCCTGGGCGTCACGTGAACCGATGCCTCGGCAGGTTCGGTTGTTGCGCAAAAAGCAAACGGAGAACACCCCCCCGCCCCCAAAGTGACCCCCCCAAAAAGGCACCGCCATGGGAGAGATCTCAGAGGATAAACGACTTTGATTCTGTGGATGTTCATGATTTTCTCAGTTGGGCTGTGGGTCCAAACCAGAGGACAATTCGGGGATTCGACCGACTGAAGAAGCTCCTTTGCCGGGTGCACACCTCAAGCTGTCAGGTTTCCAAAGCTGTTTGGAACCGCATCTCGCCACACCGTAGACTCTTGATGAATCACCCCCCGTTTGGATGCACAGACTTGCGGGCACGTCGCCACCAAGCGGGTATGGGTGGGGTAGCGCTCGGGTCTGAGGTGACACGTGAAAAACACGTGGCCTATGTACACCGGCAAGAAATGAAGAACATGCACATACCCACTGTCAGAAAAGGCCAACGAGCGAATATGCACTTCTTCATATGGAGGGTTACAGTCTATGAATCAAGAGTCTACATACTTGCTGGATTCACGGTTGCTGGAATTGTGCAACGTGCTTGGACTGGCTTGCAAAGCTGAAGGAGCAGATATGTATAGATCTCTTGCAATGGAACACCTGACAGTGACAGACCATGGCCGAAGCTTCTTTCAACCATTTTCAAACTGTTTTTGGCAGAAAGCAGGACCTAGCATACCTCCCTTTGAACTTGGTGATTTCCAAGTGCTCCGCACTGAAAGATTCAGCTGTCAAGATGTACAAAAAAGGACCATCCTACATTCCTACATCAGATTGATCCTTCCCCATTGGTTTTTGGTTTTAAAGCCTGGGCCCAGGAAACAATGCACCAGACAACCTCAGCCGCAAGTGACACAAGTCCAATTAGCCCTTCCTAACACCACTCATTGCTTGCATCTGGTCAAGCTGGGTGCTTTGAGATCCAGAACCGAGCGCAGCCCATCTGGCGGCCCCTCGGTTCTGATTATGGGCTGAGGCCCAAAAGCAGGAAAGCAGGAAGCTGACGGGTTGCTAGATTTGAGGCAAACCCATACCGAGCCTAGAGACTCTTCTGGGTGCTTGTTGGATACAATTCATATTCATCCCCTGCTCCTTCAGAGCCGTTGGACCAGAAAGTGACCACAATGAACCAATCACTGCACGACTAGGTCTTGCCGCCGTGGACCACCGACTGCAGCGTTGCTGAGGTTCTAATGGCCGAAGTGGGAGAGAAGAGACCTCTGGATCCAGATGATGATGACGACGACGACGACGATGGATTTGGACCGATGTGCCCTGGATTCGCATGAGTTTCAACACGGATTCACTCGTGGGATTTCCGTGAAACAGGTTCCCCCAAGGCATGCAGAAAAACAGGATCAAACAGGTGTGGATTCGTTCTCTCAAGCCCGAAGATGACCAGAGGAGCGCTTCACAGCTTGGATTTACGTTTCTCGGTCTCCATGTCCACATCTAGACGTTGTGGTGTCTCGGCCATGTTTGGGAGACATCTCGCTCGTTTGGGTGCTGTCGGTCATGTTTTGGTGGTGTTGCTGTTGGTTGTTTTTGTGGTGCTTTAAACATTTTTTGGTGGTGTATCGATTCTGTTTTGTTTCTTTGGCTCACGTTTTGTTGGTGTCTCGCTTATGTTTTGGTTGTGTGACTGATCACGGTCTCGGTCACTGTGCGAGTATGAACGTTACACTTGCGCGCGCACGCGCGCACACACACACACACACGATGCACATTGTGCGCAGGCGCTTGAACATCAATTTGCATATGAAGGTGTAATTCCCCAAGCTCCTTTCTTGGTGGCAAAGTGATGCGTCGACATGCAAACAAATTGCTTCGCTCGACAGGGGCATCCCGTGTAATTAATGATCATTCACGCGGTTGGCAAGCGAATGCACTTGCCGCTTATATAGAACGTTTTACACTTTTTGCTGCTTTTGAAAAACAGTTCAGTAGAAATGTTAGATTCGTAACAACTTGGGGCATTTTTGTTCGGGGAAGTTTCTTAGGGTTATATGAACATTCCATTGGACAGAGCAAAGATTTAAAGGCAGCAAAAAAGGTCAACATAGTAGTCAGTGCCAAAGTCAAAGTCAACACACAAGTCAAATCAGAAAACGTCAGACAGTCAAACAAAAATCAATTGGCGCAAAGCCGGATTATGTTTACTTTTGATTGACTTTACAATTTTTACTTTTTGATTTTTCCATTTGACATTTTTGGACTTTGACTTTTTCATTTTGTTACCCAGCTTGTGCTCTCCTCCTTCTCGTCCTCCGCGTCGCCCTCAACCGCGAGCCTCGGCTGGTAGTGTTCCCCGCCAGACCTCAACCAGCACACAATCACAACCACGAGCACAATCACAAACACACACACAACCACAATCACAACCACAAAGACACATGTACAGCACACAACCACAACGCACAACCACAGCACACAACCACAGTCACAGCACATAACCCGAGGACCCACAAACAACATCGAGAACCACAAAGCTCACGAACGTGGCAACATGCTCCTCACCATGGCATGGGGATCACTCGAAGTAGGGCAATTATTAAACAGGCTGTCCTGGCCTTTCTCAACTGAAAGATTTAGATATAAAAATATATAAATATAGTTCTATTCTTTTTTTGGGTAGCTGTAAAAAAGTCACCTCTGGAGTTTATGTCACTTGCTTTCATTTTGCTTTCACTTTGCCATCATTTGCTGTTATTCTGCTTTCATTTGCTTTCATTCTGCTGTTTCTTTAGTGTTTTCTTCTTGTTGCTGCTTTTTTATGAGATGGACCCTGACTGCTTCTATGCTCCCAAATCCCCGATTTTTGTGAGCAACAGAATTGGATTTGATCCACTTCTCGAAATTTGGAAAATTTTAATGAAGGATGATCTGCCTAATGCGAATTAAACATTATTTTGTGCTTGCGCATAAACTACGCGCTTGCGTGTCCAATCGGGGCTAATACTTGGGTTCTTCAGTGCTTCCCTTCCTTTTTTTTGCGCGCAACTTTCTTTTGTCGACGGGTTGTGCTGGAACCTGGTCTTCTTGAGAATTGCCGCCTCGTTATTTCGACGCCACCGGGTAGCCTCGGGCTAGTGTATAATATGGTGTTCGACGGGGTTTTCGCCGGATAAAAGCAATGTCTTAAAACATGTTTGTTTGTACCTTTGAGGCTCTGCCTGTCCCTCTCGCTCTCCTGCTCTTTCTCCTTAGAAATTTGCTACTCCTTCTGCTTCTAAAAGGCTCCCGGAAAAAAGATCCTAAAGCTGAGCAGAAAAACATGCCACAAAATCTTCATCCTTTCTCTGGCCGAAGATCTCAGAGTCAGAGGAAAACCATGAAAAAAACCAAAGTGACCATCGGTTGATGACAAAGTTGTTCCAACGCATTGGTTTGAGGAAGATTTTTCTCCACAGAACCAACAACATGGTTTCATAACTCGAATGTCCTCCACCACTTTGAAAACTGTTCCCTGCAAGCTTCCGATGAGAATCCCATTTTTGCAAAGCCTCTTTGCCGTCTTGAGGCCTGTTCCGGCGCCGGCGCAGACCAAGCCCAAGCGGAAAAAGGTGCAGGGAAGAAGGGGTGTTGTTCAGGGTGAACCGCGATGAGTCAATGGATTCCAGTCTGGGTACTAGGCCGCATTTTTTGTCCACATGATAGCCTATCTGATAGCTATATGCGACAGCCAAAAAGGAACGACAAGCATTTTCAACTTTTACACGGAAGTGATGGTTTTCTTTAATTATTTGCTCCTGAGAATGAGGTATGGAAAGAAACCACCGATCTTGGCAGACACACGAGTTTTGACGATGTGTGGTATGTTTTTGACCGCATGTAACATTCTCCTCATCAAAAAGGATCTCATTTGAAGGAACCGACCGAAGTTGACCTGAACCTTCTTCGCATTTCGCCGTTCGACTGCCTTTGGAAGGAGTTTATCGCCTTCAGGTTCTGAAGAACGCTCATGTTTATCTTGAGAACCTGCCCAAGGGCGAGATGTATGAAAAGAGCCCCGGCTGAACGCACTCAATCAGGTAACACTGAAAGGTGCCTTCGACACCAAAAGCCAACATCAAGTCGTTTGGCGTGACGCTTCGTTGGGATGTTTTGCGTACGAAACGAGATAACACGGGCTCCATTTGCAACATGTTCATGAACAAAACAATAAAATACAGCCAAAGTGCAAATTAATGTATGATTGCCGTTGAACATCATGTGTTTTATTCTTCCACATTTGCTTCATACATCTGGCCAATCATCCGGCCATACATGTCATGTGGCGATATTCTGCCGGTTGTAGATCTACCGTGGACTTACAGTGATTTTGCCACATTTTTTGAAAAAATAGATCTCGGTTGGAATCTACAAAGAGGATTTGATCAAGATGCCCATTGAACACCCCCAAAGCCAAAGCACCCACACACTGGTCTGACCAAGGAGCTTCATGCACCGTGACGTGGTCCACTTGGCGGTTTGCAGCTTCGCCACGGGTTTCCTCGTGACCGGCAGCGAAGACGGACACGCTGCTTGGGCGGAATGGGCGGTTGGTCACAACAGGTGGGACGTGGTGGGACTCGGGAGGTGACTAATGGCCTTTTACTATTAGTTGGTTGATTGATAGAGAGGATACCCTCAAGTGTACCACCAATAGGTATATGGTACCTGGCACCGACCCATCTATTCTTCCCAAGTACGGACACCACTGCTCTGGATAGAATCCAACAACTCTTTTGAGCATCGCAGGAGTGAAGGTGGAACAGATGGTATGCCGACCCGCAGGGTCCCATGGGTCGTCCCATGGATCCCAATGATCGGAATGCAGCCCCCCTGTGGAGATGTGGGATTGAAATGCCAGAAAGCATGCGCATGACTCAGCATGACTCAGCTGTGGGGTTTGATGCGTTGCCACATGTTCCACCTTTGAATATCTGTGAAATGAGTGGAACATAGCGGAATATGGTGTACGCATGTGTGTGCCGCCAATCGCTCAAACACGGTGTCTTTTAAGGACTGGTCTCGATGGAGAACACCTGGATCGGCTGGAAACCAGGGGTACTTGATGTGGTATTTAGAGTCTAGATGGGATATGGGTACAACATCTCTTAAGGATTCTTTAAATCCATTGACAGATCTTCGGAACATACATGAACGTATACGACATTCTATCACATTGTCCAATTGAAATAACATCCTTCAGCACCCAGTGACCCAGTGCCGCTTCCTTTTCCTCCGGAGCTCCGGTGTCGGATCGATCGGCGGCTGGTCTGGCGGTCGCAGCCGGTTCCGCGGCCATCGCCAGACCCGACTCGAACCCGTTCCGTGGAGGTTCCGACGGGGTGGAACCATGCCAAAAAGCAAAGGACGGGACCTTTTCCGAACCACGCCGTCGTGGCTGACCCTCCACCCCACGGGTTCCTTCGGTTCAATCGATGCGTCCAACTCGTCGATTCGTCGCGCGTCAGTCCCAGACACTCCATGTATGCTATATAGGCCTACATTGACCCCCCAAACCACCCCAATGTAGGCATATATAGCATACATGGAGTGTCTGGGAGTGGGCGTTGTTCCGGCTCGGTCACGCGACGCCCATCGAATCCACCGATGTCGGTGAACGACGCCCCAGACAACGGGCCCCAAGTGACGTCGGTGGTTTCCCGCACGATCTTCGCCCCGCCCGATCTTCGCCCCGCCAAGAAGCACTTCGCACGCCCGATCTTCACCCGAGGTGAAGTTCTGGAAGAAGCAGTACGAAGGAATTGAGTTTGTGAAGCACTACCGTGCCCATCTAAGAAGCTTGGCCATAGAATGCCATAGACATGAGACGTGAACCACCCAAAAAATGGTCAGAGAACAGGGTTTCGAGTTCTGAACAAAAATGGGTTGGGGTGCCCTTGGCGAAATTTCAGATCATATGAAAATAGCCTCATCAAGAGATGTTAGGAGAACAACAGGGATGGATTGAGACTGGAGGAAGGGTACAGTCAGATTTCTTTCTGACGAAAGTAGATTGCTGCATGGTACATAATTTTTTGAGGGACCCCCCTAGCGGCCCTAGCAAATTCGCCATACATTGGTGAGAAGCAAAGGGCCAAGCTCCAACCTTGCTGGGCATCATCTTTGGCTGTGTCATCATACAGAGATTCGGCCATCTTCAAACGGTGTACTCCATATTGCAGGGCATATTGAAAAAAGACAACACACTGAAATGAAAAGAAGAAGGCAAAGAACAGGTAAGAAAAAGACGGACACCAAAGTAGCCAAAAAGCGAGTTTTCATGAATGTTCTTTACCCCAAAACTGCTGCCGGTCCCCACTCCCCGCACGCCCGCTGGACCAACGACCCGCCCGCCCATACCCCGCAGTCCGATGTCCCAGGCAAGCTGCTGGCGATGGTGATGTCCCAGGACGCAGAAATATGTCACACTTCCCGTGGGGATGAGCAGTTTTTTCGGAAAACGGGATGAGCAGATCCGGCCTTATAAGGAAGCATCGATGTGTGAAGGTTCTTCCTTTTTTACAAGCCAAACGGGATTTCTCGACATCGTTTGAGATATGACATCCCGGGCGAACCTTCAGGTGGAATTCTCTGCCCCGGTGTGATTGCGAAAAGGCGAGGGACCCTCACTTTCATCACCTTTCTCAAGATAGGGACAGGGCCCCAAGTGCTCATGGTTGTATTTGCTTCAAGATCTTATTTTACTTCGACTTCAGAAGCTAAATTTTCATGAATGGTTGAGCCAACAAGCTGCGACGGGTTCTTTGCAAATCCAGAGTTGAAACAACTGTTTCACATTGAAATAAGGTGTGGTAAGTTTCAGTTCTGGTTCATTGCCACCACTTACCACGTAGATAGAGCACTTCGGACGTAGAGGTGTTTTTCATCACTGCCTTATACCTTACCAGGAGGTGATGTTCAGTCCAAGAAGAGATGCTAAGCATACATCATATATACTGTAAGCGGGCCTTGGCCTCGGCTGCGCAGAGAGCGCGTTGGCCCTCCCTCCCACCACATGAGGTCCACCTGTGACTCGGGGGCAAAGCCAGAAATAAGGTTTCCGATTCCAACCTCATCGCCCTGGTTGGCAGGGTTGGATATATCCCAGAGGGTGCAGGATCAGGTCCATTTGGGGTGCAACCTTTGTTTGACTTCACTGTCTGGGGTCAACAGAAGTCACCAGCATCATGTATCATGATAGCTCGACTTGTGGACTTCCTCTCAGGGGAAATAGTATGAAATAGTCACTGAAGTTCCGCCAGATGAGTTGGATCAACCAGTCCAACGCGAGAAGCCAGCGAGGGCTCTGAAAGAACACTTGGTAGCATTGCCTGGAAGTTCCAGGTTCCGGCAACAAGCCGTGCTTCACATGCCACATGATCCCAACGTGCCTGGCAGCCATCCATCTTTCAGCTCAGAATGGCCATTGGGAAGTGGCGCAGCTGCTACTGCAAGCCAGAGCTGACAAAGATGCTGCCACAAAAAACATGCAAAACAGCCTTGTGTCAAGCTGGCCAAGGGTGGCAACACAGCTTTGCGCGCGGCAAGTTGGGCAGGGCACACAAGAGTTGGTAGGTGCAGGAGCTCAGAAGGATGCTGCTGCCCAAGATGGAAGAACAGCTTTGCACGGGGCAGGTCAGAATTGCCACTTGGAAGCGTTGTATTTACTGTGTGTGTCTTTGAATTGCTGCACGCAGGAGCTGCGGCAAGAATGGCCGAAGAAGAACCCTAACGACGTTAACATGGCACGTCGGCAAGAATGGCACCCCAACGGCGCGGACATCTTGGAACATCGGTATACCTTGGGTTTGTCCTACCTGTAACAGGACCTGTAAACAATTATTACTACTTTTGGACAAGGCCTGCAGCCTAACCATCATCATCCACTGGGCCCAGATAATAGGATAGACCCAAAGTATGCTAATAGTAGGTATACCTTTGGGATCCTTTGGGCACTTGCAACGACGGACGCGACAGTTGCTAACGGCCACACACGCGTCAAACATGGCTTCAGTCAGGTTTGGACTGAAGAGCTGCGCCTTCTGCGAGAGTTGATGCTGACAAGATTCTTGCAGATGTTGCAAGAAATCCATCTATCTCTTTACTCTGTCGAATAACACCCTTCAATGCCAGACCGACCTCCGTATCTTGAGAATTAAGTCTAGCGAACCCAGATCTTTGCCCTCCGGTCCTGATTCTCTCTAGAGACCCGCCTGTGGGTCCAAACCCAGTCACCCTGATTTTTCCCACCGAAGATGAACACATTCCTCTGGAGATGTCAACCGATTTCGGTTGGGTTTCTCACAGGCGCCTTACTCACCGCCCCCCTTCCTTTTTTTGAGGACGGGGGACGACTAGTTGGTTGCAGAGCCCAAATTGGTTTGAACCAAAGTCGTTCCATCTCATCTCCGTACTCACCGGATCTCCCCGGATCTCCGCCCGATCGCTCCAGGACGGGCGTCTGCTGGCCACGATCGGCGAGGATTGCGCCTTGAAGCTCTTTGAGGCCAGTGACGCGTGATGCGCCGGGGCGCAGCGGTCGGAGGGCGCAGCGGTCGGTGCTGCGATTCTTCGACTCGGATTTGGAACCAAAACAGCGCCCATTAGTACATTGCTCGCCTTCTCTCCACAAAAGCAGGGAGGTTTTCCATGCAACGCTGTCGCCTACAGACTACAGTAAGTGTTTTTGCATGTTTTTGCCGCACGACATATTGAAATCAGCATCCATCTGAATCAAACATGACACATTCCTGGCAACATTTTGAATTGCCGATGAAGCAAGGTCTGCCGGAAGACGGCAGGATGGGGCCGTGGTCAAAGAGTTCTATGACCGAGGAACCTACATGAAACACAGTCTATTGATGTCTATTGGTAACTTGAAGCCATGGATAGCCATTGTGACTTGAAGCTCAAACAGTTCCGGGGAAAGTCAAATATAGTTTCGGGGCCTCTTGAGGCAATGGGAGTGCTGGAATTCAGAATGTCAAGGCTGGCCTAGAGGATGGGTTCTCTAAAGAGACATGCAGGGGGGCTCATGCTTTGCAATCTAGAATTGTGGAAGGGGGGACATCATCTATGGTTGAATGGACAAAACGATGAGGTTAGGTGAGATGAGGTCAATCTAGAATTGTGGAAGGGGGGACATCATCTATGGTTGAATGGACAAAACGATGAGGTTAGGTGAGATGAGGTCACGAGGTCTTTGTTTTTTCAGGTCAGCAACCACCGATGCGTGTTCGCCATCGTGGTCCTTTGGGATGACACACACACACAACACACACACACACAGACGCGCACACATAAAAACACATGCCAGTATCCTTGAGTTAGTGCGGCGCATGGTTGAATTTCTAGAAATCCTCCATAGGAATTGGAAGAATTTCCTCGATGGAGACCTCATTTGGCAATGACCTTGTTCAGGTGACCTCCTTTGACATGACCTGCATGATCAAGCTGAAGTTCAAGCCGCTTCAGGTCCAGTTCTGGATTGCGATGAATTCTTTTCAGGGTTCCATTTTTAGTAACAAGGACGTTATTAGGTTGGAGGCCATCGCTACTGGTAACAAGAAGCTACTAGTATTGCAATGTTTCCATGTTTGGGCTGTGGGTATCACGATCCGCCCAGTAAGAGAAGCAGTATGGGAAATGCCAAGAATTGTAAGAGTCATCAGATTCATTCTCTTTGTCAAACGAATGGGAGACCTTCAAGTGCAACTCCATCGTAGAGATCTACATCCACCCAAGCATGCAGCAAGCATCAGGAGTTCTTTTTGCGTGACCTGTTCTCTTCCGCATCGGCCCCCCCACATCGGCTGTGCGCAAGGGAATGACTCCTAACTAATTTGTGTATTGCAGCCGTGCCAACAATGTTTCTACTGACAGAACTTTGGCAAGAGTGCCTCTCTCTCCTCTTCACACTGGCTCTTGCAGGTGCTGTGTACAGGAAGATCTACATGATCTACCAGAACAGTTCGTTCCCCTAACAAAAGGATTTTTCCACGCATGTTACCGAGAAACATCTCAGAAAACCTGTTTTCTGCTCCCGTTTCAGCCTCGTTTCACGGAACGAACGAAAGGACCCGACGAAAGGGTTCGGCTCGGCGAGGTGGAGTTCGTCCATAAGAAGAACTCCCCGACCTCGCTGGTGGCCGTGCCCGGGGCGCCCAGATCGAGCGTGAGCCGGAAGCCGCCAGTGGAAGAGCTAGAAAAGGTAATTGTAGACTCTTGATCAATAACAGAGGCTTTTCAATCCAAAGGTGGGGGGTTATTAATCAAGAGTGTACATTAGGCCGAAACCATTGTTCCATTGCTCAGCTATTCTGTTCGGGTCATAGCTAGTAGCGGTCACAAACCTCGACTAGCTTCGTCAAACAAGCGGTCTGCTTTTTGGGCCGTTTGAACCGCTAGCCCGCTGCGCGCCGCTGCGGTAGGCCGAAAGGAACTGGACCAAAACAGTCTGGGTTTTTGAGCAAAAGAAGGTTTCAACATGGACATTTTGGAGACCTACAATATGCCCTTCTTTCTTAGAAGGGACGGCCATTATCTGTGAAGTATGGGACTCTGACCTTTACCAACCCATTTTCAGGCTTCTTTCTTGATTGATCTGCTCTTTCTCCGCCCTGGGATTTTTCTTACCTCGGCGTGTTGTTTTGGACCTTTGAGGGCCTCCTTTTTCGGCTGCCCACAGGTCCGAAGCGGAGTGTGGGAAGGCCGGGCCAAGCACCGGTTCGACGCACCGGTTCGGCGGCGCGGTGCGAGAGAAGGGTCGTTTTGCTTGGGGTCGGTGTTCAAACGCCCAAACCGCAGCGAAGGACGTCAGCGGTTTTGCGGGTCACGTGTGAGAAGCAGATGTATATATATATATATCATATATGATATATAATATGTATATATAGGATATAATATAAATATACATAGAAATATTATATATATACACACACGTACATCCTATTCCTTTAGCAACATGATGGAAGATACAACATTCGAAGCGCATGTCAATTTACCGGAACGTGCGTTGAACCGTTCTGTATTCCGTCTATTAGTGTAGGCGACTCTACATTTTCCTTCATGTGACAGACTTGAAACAGCTTGAACTCGTCACAGGTGTCAGATTTTGTGCTAGTGGATGAGGGACATTGGAACCAGTGAGGAGTCCCCAAGTATGTTCGTCCTTAAGCAGAAGCCTCTTCCCGGCACTCAAACCTTTAAGACCTTTTATATAAGCAGCCTGAGCCCAAGGGGTGACTAATTTCAAAAGATCCTGTTCAACAACATCCTTTACCACGCGGATGAGTCTAAGAATCAACATACCTCTACAGTAAACAGTATACATCATCCAAGCCCATTGCTCGGTGGATGTCCTACAGAAAAACCCATGTATATCACTGTATGTCCTCTGTCTACTGGTCAAAACCTGGACCCCAAACAGCATCAAACGGCTACAGAACCAGGCGGTTCTCAGCTCGTGAGCGACGTGTTTTCCTGTTCTTCCTCCAGGTTCACATCCTACAGCCCGAGAGCGGCAAGGCAGAGCCTTTGCGAACTCTGGAGGCTGGAAGCGAAGCGCTGGACGGTAAAGGCTTCAGTTCGGGCGTGGTGAAGGCGGACGGGCCTGGCAACTGCCGACCTTTTTGGGTTGCACGCGATGATGATGCACCTGAAAGGCCAGGGGAAAGAAGGGAGACTGCACGCCAAGTTTCTTTTTCCCCATGTTTCTTTTGGTGTGTTTTTCTTGGAGGCGTGAGGAGGTGTGTGTTGTTTCTTCGTCCGAGCAAGGGAGGGAGACTCCGAAGAGAGGAGAGAGACATGGAATGGGCCGAGCTGAGCACATCGCACCGATTCTCAGGGTCGATTTGGTGGGTGGAACCGTTGTGAGTGGAGTAAGTTGGTTTCAACGGGGAGAACGCCAGACGAGAAGACCAGAAGACCGAGGTGAGTGGAAAGCATTTGGTTGGGTCATATATGGATTATTTATGTGCTTTTTAGGGGCTTTTTGCCAGGCCTAGCGAGCGAGGAACTGGCCCCCCAAAAACCGTGTCTTAGACTCTGATTTTGGACGCAAACTGCAGTCTTGAAAGGCACCGACCTCATGTGAAGGAGCTGAGGAGTTGTTCTGTCTTCTTCTTAGTCTTCTCAGGTCACGCTGGGCTCGGGGTGATTCGACCTCCCCACCTCCATCCCATCCGTGCGGACCGGTGTGCGCCATGCCAAAAAGGTGCACACCGAGGCCTGCCATGCGATGAGGCGAGGGGCAGTGCGAGGGGCGATGTTGCACCAGGTCCCAACAGGACGGTGGCTGAGATGGTTGTATTGTCCCCATGGTGTTGTCACTTGCACTGGTGCAGGGGGGTAGAGGTCGGTTTGCCCAGAGGTGTTTGCGAGACATATGCATGTTCTATGTTGAAAAGGAGAAACCACCGAGATCCACCAAGACCTGCGGGGGTCGGTCGCTTCCCGGTCGACCTCCGAACGGCGGTCGCCCCGGTTCCCGGGTCGGTCCGAGTCTGCTGGGTTCTCGGCGAGTCCAAGACCATCCGACCCGAACAGCGAGGACGAAGCATTCCTTTCATGTCCTTTCAATTTTTTCGGTGACAAATACCTTTGACAAGGATCTCGTTGCTGGATCCTTTGAGTCAGAAAGCAGGTACAATCCTTTGATCCATGCTTGCATCAGCGCGGACAAGACTGGTGCCGGGGTGCCTGGCTAGGCTGGTGAAGTGATCCTAGCCCATGTCAGCCCCAGCTTTACAGCCGTGTCCACACTCAAACCAGCAATTGCTGTTTCCTTTGCACTTCATGGAAGACTCCTTTCAGCCACCCCATCCCCGTCCCCGCCACCCCGTCAGCCACACCGCTTTCGGCTTCTGTGGCTCCGCGCCTGAAGAATGATGAAGCACGGCATGGGCATGGCATGGGCCCCAGTCCCAATACTTTCAGAAGCATGCGAAGATGGGTCTACTCCTGTGCAGCCATGACCGTGCTTCATTGCAAAAGACCACATTCCCCAACAAACTCGGGTGGCGGACTTGAATTTCTCACGATTCTGGATGTGTGGCGTTGGATTTGACCCCCCATGGTGCAAGCGTTTTCATGGAATTCACTACGTTCGGTCCTCGGGTTTGAGGCCACCACCGTCTACTTTCGGGACAACCTGTGTTGGATGGAAGATCACTCGCTGGAGCAGGGCATGGGCAGTCATATGTCATATTCACTCGCTGGTCGTAGCAAGTCTCTAAGAACATCGGTGGGCCATGACCCATATTATGGACCCATATAATCCCATGTATATAATATATACTGTATATATAGTATAATATAATAATATATATGTCGACACATGCAGATTGAAGATCTCGCTGAGACAATCTGATCTCAATCCTGTGCTTGTGAATGACATGGAATCATTTGAGAGCTCATCCAAAAGTCATCCCAAAGTCATCTCATCTCGGTCAGGCTTTGCATCCGGACAAACAAGAACATCCAAAAACGAACGAACCAGAGCCGCGGTGGAACACCGTTTGCGGTTCCACGTTGGAAACCCATGCAGCCCATTTCTTCCTGCGTCCCGTTCTGAGGCCTTAGAGCTCTGGGATCCTGACACCTTAGAGATGCCCAGCAAGCAGACGCGCCCCGGAAGGCGGCTGGCACGTGCGGCGGAACGAACGCGTCGGTCGACCGGGTCGTGTCTTTGGTGGCAAAGGTGGTGTCTTTGGCTTGGAGGTTCTCCGAGGCGAAGCGAGTGTTTCGAGGTGGTTGGTTTTCTTCGACTTCGGGTGGGCAGAGGGAGTCCCACGGTGTTTTCCAGCAGTTCCAGCGGAAGGTTCCAGGGATTTTCTCGGTGCGCGGTACGTGGGGGGGCGCGACGTTGGGGCGTTTTTCCACGTTGGGAACTGCGGACGGTCTCGACTCGTGGCACTGTTCCAGTGACCTGAAGGGAGTGACAGACTCGTCTGCGGGGCGCGGGAGCCGCATCGTTCTGGCTCGCGGGCTCGCGGGCTCGCGGGTCCTATTTTCGTGAGTGTTGTGTGAAGTACTTGCTCCATGTTGCTCCCCAAAGGCACACGAAGTGTCAGGCAACATGCGTCAGGCAAGCCGACTGCACATGGTGTCAGTCAAGTTCCTATTTTCAATGGTCGGTCAGGTTATATATAGATAGATGGTTGTAGTAATGATCACCGAAACTACTACAGGTAAGTCATGGTAAGTCCACTTTGCAAATCCAGAAGCGCCGCTCCCCTCCCGCCCCGGAAATTGCAGGCTGCGCTTTGAGATCAAGAGCGAGACGCACATGTGACCACTGTGAGATGCAGCAACTCCGGAGTTGGTTTGTAGGTTTGTGAAGCACCTGGCTGCGGCTTTCTTTCCTCACCGAGTTGTGTGCCAGAAGTAAAGGTATCCCCTTTGTTCCATAACACTTCTTCTTTGCTATTTTCAGAAGCTGGATGCTTGAGGCTAACAAGCTGCAACGGATTGAGCTGGGGATTTAAACAGATTCACATACTATGACACATGTCCTTACCAGGTCCAGGTGGGGATGTTCCAAGGAAAGCTGCCAAATATATCTATATATATGATAATGAGCCCCCCATTGGCTGCCATGATTGCTTTCGTAATCGTTTGTAGCACCGATAGTCCAGTCGCGGACTGCAAAGGACTAGTGTAGATTAGATGGACTGCATGCTTGGGGACCGAATGTACTGAATGTGTTGCTGTTTTTCATCCTTCTTGGGACCTGATGGCGAAGGTAGTGGCGAAGGTCAAGGTCAGATCACTTTGCTGACTCTCACGCGGCAGCGTTGCGAATTGGCTTCTTCTCAGGGGAGAGTCACTTCAAACTCCGCCAGATGAGTTGCATCAAACAGTCGTCCGACAGACCAGCTGTCCGGGTGAACACCACGGCGAGCTGCCACCGCTTGGACGGGCAACGTTTGTTCCGGCAACGACGAGCTGCAGGAGGATGACATCACCTGGTGTGATTGCGAAAAGGCAAGGGACCCTCACTTTCATCACCTTTCTCAAGATAGGGATAGGGCCCCCAGTGCTCATGGTTGTATTTGCTTCAAGATCTTATTTTACTTAGACTTAGACTTCAGAAGCTGAATTTTCATGAATGGTTGAGCCAACAAGCTGCGACGGGTTCTTTGCAAATCCAGAGTTGAAACAGCTGTTTCACATTGAATAAGGTGTGGTAAGTTTGAATTCTGGTTCATTGCCAGAGGTGTTTTTCATCACTGGCTTATACCTTACCAGGAGGTGATGTTCAGTCCAAGAAGAGATGCTAAGCATACATCATATACAAGCGGGCCTTGGCCTCGACTGCGCAGAGAGCGCGTTGGCCCTCCCTCCCACCACATGAGGTCCACCTGTGACTCGGGGGCAAAGCCAGAAATAAGGTTTCCGGTTCCAACCTCATCGCCCTGGTTGGCAGGGTTGGATATATCCCAGAGGGTGCAGGATCAGGTCCATTTGGGGTGCAACCTTCGTTTGACTTCACTGTCTGGGGTCAACAGAAGTCACCAGCATCATGTATCATGATAGCTCGACTTGTGGACTTCCTCTCAGGGGAAATAGTATGAAATAGTCACTGAAGTTCCGCCAGATGAGTTGGATCAACCAGTCCAACGCGAGAAACCAGCGAGGGCTCTGAAAGAACACTTGCTAGCATTGCCTGCAATTTCCAGGTTCCGGCAACAAGCCGTGCTTCAAATGCCACATGATCCCAACGTGCTTGATCCATGAACAGACCAGGCAGCCATCCATGTGTCAGCTCAGAATGGCCACTGGGAAGTGGTACAGCAGGTACTGGAAGCCAAAGCTGACAAGGATGCTGCCACAAAAAAGAAGTGCAAAACAGCCTTGCAGTTGGCAAGCTGGCATGAGCATCTTAGAGTGGTGCAAGGGCCACTGAAGGCAGGGGCCGAGATTGCAACACAGCTTTGCACACGGCAAGGTGGGCAGGGTACACAGAAGTGGTGCGAGAGTTGATAGGTGCAGGAGCTGACAAGAATGCTGCCGCCCAAGATGGAGGAACAGCTTTGCACTGCGCAAGTATGAATGGATGCGAGAGTTGCTGCTGACAGGCGCTGACGCTGACAAGTCAAGACGGCTACACAGCTTTGTGCGGCGCTACTTGTAGCGCGAAAGGGCACTTGGAAGTGGCGCGAGAATTGCTGCACGGAGGAGCTGACAGGGCTGTTGTTGCAACCAAAGATGGATACACGTTTGGGTTGCTGCTGGAGTTTTAACAATCAGATACCTGTCAAACAATACTGAGCAGGCTTGCACAGAACAGCTTGTTGCATGTTGTGCAAAGGTTGCTGCAGGCAGACAACATATGGAGAGGTTGTCGAGATGAAAATGCAGATACACGTCGACGCGGATTTTGCAACAGATCCCAATTGTTGAACTCCACCAAAAGTTGAAAGGCGCCCTAGTGAAGGAACATGTTCTTCCCACTCTGACAGGTCATCCATGTTTACCTGAAGGTTGACTAAGCAGTGACATAATACATAAAACATATATGTATAAGTTCAAGTAGGGCCACCTCCTTGATCTCCCCTAATACCGTTCCAGGCCATCATGCGAGATCATTTCAAATCCAACATTCCCAATGGAACGGGTTTCAGCGCAGGTACGAGCTCCGCAAGAATCAAACTTCCGTGCAGTTCCCAGCAAAACGTCGCTGTTCGCGACGGTGGCAGTCGTTGCATGTGAGGGTCACCTTTGGGTGGGTCCTGACAAGAGTCAAAGATCTACAGAGACCGTGTTTTGTTGTGCTAAAACGGTCCATGGATAGCAAAGCACACATCCAACTGAAAGTTCCTGGGGGACTTGGAACAGGGTGATCTCGATGGCGAGTGGTGTGTGTAGATGTTTGTTTTTCCAGTGGCGTGATGCCTAGCGGCTATGATTCTCAGCATGCTTTGGACATTTTCCCAAAAGATCGCCGGGCAGACCCCAACCAGCAAGTGTGATTGCCTGAGAAACGCTCCACGTTTTCAGTCTTCGACGCAGTTGCTGACCCCATGGGGGGCTTAGGCCATCTCTTTCTCCAACAGTGCGGATAGCAGCATGTTTGTGATGGTTTGCGAGGCAGGTCGATGTCCGGCCTAGTCTGGGAGTTGCGGAGTCCGGGTTGATGTGGGTCAAAACCGCCCCGACAGCATGTAGCTTGACTGTGTACAGTTCTGTTCTTGTTTATATTTATATATACACCCGGTATATATATATATATATACACCTCAACTCCCCTGTACCCACCTTTCAAGGTGAATGGCGGTGGGAAGCGTCGCAGACAAAGTCACGTCGGTAGGTCAACCAAGATCTCCTGGTATCACTGTATACCAAGGGATGCTGAGGCTTGCGCGTGGAGTGTGTCATTGGTCGTCGTGTTACCAAGATCTGGCGTTGACCCACAGCCATATATGAGGTTTGTCTTCTTTCATCCCAACCAAAGTGGAATACCTGGGGCAATCCTGGGCATCGACTCACGGGATCCGGAGCGAGCAAACACGTGGGATCCTGGAACACGGTGCGTTCAACTACCCCGGGTTCCAGTATTAATGTGTTACTCCGTGTTACTGCTCACCCTTAAAAGGGAGAATCATGTAGAATGTAGACTGTTGATTAATAAACCCGCCCTTTTGAATTGAACAACCTCTTTACATGGGGGGTTCATATTCAAGAGCCCACATTATGAGACCATTCCATGATCATCCGAGACATACGGAAACATGTTTGATGCTGTCGGATTGTTTGCTGGGACTTGAGGATGACGGCCAGCCGGAAAACGGAAGGACCAAGAGAGACCTGCGGTCGCCTTCCTTCGGTCCCTTCGGTCCCTTCGGTCCCTGGTTCACGTTCGATTCCGTTTAGAAAAGCTTCACACACTCTATCGAGTGCCCCAATTTCAGCTGACGAGCCGCGAACGCCCAATTTCAGCGAAGGCCTCCTTTTTTACTTCTTTTCTCACTTGCTCAGACCTATGTGCTTCGATCGTGCCCACACCAGCATTGCTCACATGTCCCTTTTGGGCAGTGACGGTGACGGGTGGGTGTGCAAGGATGGTCGTCTGAGAGTCTTTCGCTACGCCACCATGAAGATGGTGCCAGAGCTCGGAGTGGTTGGAAGTGGGCTGTCGAAGTGGGATGCCCCCCCACTGATCATGAATGCGGCGGTCTGGGCTATGGGTCTAAAGTGGGGGGCACCCCGCTTGGCCACCCAAAATGAACACCTTCCTTCATTAGGGATGTGAACTTTTCATGCTTTGCCGGGTTTTCGTCGATCCTGTCGAAGGAGTTGATTGAAACATGGTTCACGAACACGTGGGTCTGGGCGGAATGTGAATAGATGGTCTGAGGATGTAGTCCTGACATGTGACTGGAACATGTCATGGGTGACCTGCAACTATCTGCAACTCTTCAGAGCCCGCCCCCGAATCCAAAGCTCAGCAATACAGGACCTGTTCATCAAGACTCACCAGAGTATGGGTATATAAGTGCCATCTGCAGAGTTGTACAGCCAGAACGATTGCTCTGCTGCAGGTGAGAGGTTCCCCCGGAGTTCCCCCACTGTGACACGAAAATCCTCAATGGAATCATGTATCATTATCATGCATCCAGAGTATTCTTGGAAGTGCAATCCTGATTCCATAATTTGGTCTTATCCACCTGTGCGAAGGAATCATCTACTGTATAATCATTTATAACATAGACCATTATAGACCCCCAGTCATAGATAGAAAAGTAGATCCCCACTAAGAATCTATTGGATACCGTGGAACGTCTCTATTTGGAGAGCACTATCGCCGATAGACACTCCAAACAACCAGCCCTCCGGCCGTCACCGAGTTCTGCTCCGCTCGGAGCATAGCGGTCTGGCGGTCTGGCGCTGGTGGCGCCGGTTCCAAATCACCCGGTCTATGACGTGTCACTTCTCCAGTGATCACCCGGCTCACAGAAGACCCGGGCTATGAGTTCCGATTCGGAGGGGTTTTTGAGAAGGTTTTTCCACGGAACTTTCGAAGCTCCGAATTCGGGTTCCATCAGGGGGTGGGTGAAGCGGCTGAGGTTCGTGCCTACGATGAATCCATGGAAATGTTTACAGCAGCTCAGAGCGATCCCAATATGGGGGAGCTGCATTTGGACAGGCTCCGAGTCTGTTTCGGTGCGGGGATTCGAAGAGTGGTCGCCACGACTGATGGACATCTTGACCAAATGGGGCTGAAGATCCAGAGGTGCTGAGTGAAACGCCGGTGATTTCAGGACTGAAAAAGTGTGGCGACCATGAAAAGACATGATCAGAGTTCGGCCTGATTCGCTCGGTTTTCGGTCCAACCAAGGTAGATGAAGAGAACACCGACCCACGATGGAGGATGACTCCGAACCACGACGGGGTCGGTCCAAGAAAGGGGCATTTGAATAGGAAGACGCCCATTTGAGATGGCCCCTGGCTGGGGAGTAGACTGGTGAATTGTCCCCTTTTTGAACCCAAGGGGGGGGTTGACTGGGAGGTCTCTGTGCTTTACACCGATGTGGTTTTTCCTTGCGGTCCGACGGTCGAATCGGCCAGGTTCGACTTCGGTCGGCGCATTGCGGTGGAAAAAGAGATGCGGAAGTCGCCGGCCGTGATGTACCAGCAGGTCGGCCGGGTGGGTCGAGAGTGGGAGGGGGGGACCTGTGAAGGTGGAGACCTGTGAAGGTGGAGACCTGTGAAGGCGTTTGGATGGATCAGATCTCGTCCTGGGAAAGACCAATCCAAAAGATTCCCCAAAGGTTTCTGAAATATAAGGTGCAGGATTGTTTGCCGGATTATTGGTAGATTGTCCAGGCCAAGTCGTCGTTTTGTTCATGTAGGCACCAAGCAGACAGTGATCTCCTTTCCGTGGGCTATTTTTTAAATGACAAATGGCGGGGAGAGGTTATTTGAGGATGCATTTGAGATCCCCGATGACATTTCCCCTAGGAAATGCAGGGCCCAGGCTCAGGTTCTTAGAATATCAACAGGGATTATTTGAGGCTATTTTAAGCAGGCTCTTCTCTGGCCCTGGCTCTTCTTCGGCCCTGTTCACAGAGGTCATAAGTTCAATTGCGCGTTCGCGGACCGCGAATAACCCATTGCGTTCCGCGGGAATGTGAAAAGCTGTTTCAGGCGGTCTTCGACGAGTCAGGGAACTTCTTGATCTTTACTTCGTTGGCTGCAGCCCCAAAAAATGCCAGGAGAGTGAGTGGGATTTCGTGAGCCAAAACGATCGTTTTTCGATTCCTGGGGATATACCCCCCAAACGACTTTCCAAACGACTGGACTAGACCACTGACTATATATGTCACTGTCCTTTCTCAAGAGCACCCTTGATCTACCGGGGATGTTTCTTTTTGACCAAGGCATTAAGCATCATTGAGCAAGACAGCACAAGTCCCTCTGCAGAGAAAGCCGATGTCACTCATGGATCTTTGAAACGAAACCACGATGCTCTGCTAGCTGATAGCTCGCGTCAGCGAGGTGACGCAAGGTTTCGGTCGCCACGAGCACGATCGTGCATCGTTCGTGTTGCTCTTTGTTTTTTTTGGGTGTTTTCCCTCCACTTCTGTTTCTGAGATTGGTGTGAAGATTGTGAACTTGCATACCAACAAGTTAGTGAAGATCCTTGGCTCGGGCTCCCAGTAAACCGCCGCCAACGGAAGGGCCCCCATGAAAGGCACACCGGCTCTTGGGGTCTGGGCGATGATTTCTAGGTCACAGACTATAACTAAGAAGATTTCAGAAGCCACTCTTAGGTTGGCTTCTCGGAAGGAACAGCGCTCCAATTTGCCAGTGATGTGGCTTAAGAATGGATGAGGGTCCAGTTTAAGGCACCGTCCATATGTCCTTTTCCCAGACCCGCACACAATCTCCACGGGGCGTGCTGCTTTGGTTTCAACTCTTCGGTTTAGTAGGAATTGTCCCAATCCACTAGTCGACTGTACACCTTAGTGATGTGTGGCGTGTTTCTGGCATTAAGTTAAGGGGTTCACACGCTCTGGTAACTTTTCGTCAGTTCCTTGTTGGACTTTCCATCCCCCCCAGTCATGGACGGCCTTGGCCGCCGGGCTTTGATCATCCTCGTGCGCCAACCCTCCGAGACGCGCTGGTGAAGGGATGTGGTGTGGTTGACTCAGCGGTGTCCGCGGCTTTTTTTGATGTTTCTTGAGGCAAAGTGGAGCAGACCGAACGCTTCTTGGGGATCGCCTTATATCAGGGGAAGGCGGTGAGGAAGAAGGCGACAGACGAGAGAACATGGGGCCTGCGAAGAGGAGGAATGCCTTGACGCGCTCAGGAATGGGAATTGGAGCTAAAGGCTGCAACCACCCTGTGCCAGCAAGATGGAGTTGTTGATTGGTGATCATGCCAAACTGAAAAAAGACTGGTGGGACGAGACTGAAAGACAGGTGCCACTCGTTTCGCACTCAACTATATAGTTCCAAGCTATCAGTGAAGCTTCAAGCACAAAGCAGGGTATATAGTAATGGTACTCGTATGTAATAGTGGAGGCTGTTCATTCATTACGTAACCCCATGTTCAAGAACTTCGGGTAGACTACGTATTCTTGCCGTGGCAACCATTTCGTACCCACAGATTCTGCAGAGTCTTGTACCCATGACTTGTCATTCTGGCAAGGGTCACTTGCTCTTGATTGAAGTTCTCGTGCTGGGCTGACAAGAAAACGTAGGCAGACTTGAAAGGGCAAGGCTTGGTCTCGCCTGGCCAACATAGAATCGGCCAAAAGCAGAGATGTGTGATATCCTTTTTCCTGCAAAAAGCAGAGACATGTGTGAAAAGACATGTTTCAAAAGCAGAGATGTGTGAAAAGACGGCTCTAGTTGAAACCCTGTCTTTTCTGCAAAGACACCGAACTACTTCGGCATCGCGGAGCAGTCACAAGGGGCTGGTCTCCGCTCCGGTCACAGTCTGACCTGGGTCCGGACTCGCGGCTTGCCGCAGGCCGGGTTGGGCGAGTCCGTCATTGAAGGTGAGAATGACCAGAAGGAGCCGCGAAGCGAACCGTGCAACAAAGCCGTTAAACGGAGCCCGGAGGTGGGAGAGGGCGGTGGGGAGCGAAGCGAAGCGAGTCGAGTCGAGTGATAGAGCGAGTCTGGGGAATTCAAGGAACAGGTCAACTATTTGAGCAAGTATTTCAATGTATTTCATTTGAGAGACTATCCAGGAGGATACTTGCTCAATATAACTGAAGTCTGAATATTAATAACCAACTTGCGTTCTAGAGTTTCTTTTTTTTGAGAATGCTGTTGAACACAGTCTAGAAGCTTATTGTTTTGATGTCATGTGCGCACCTTTTTTTCTTGACACAAGACTAGACGGAGTCGGAGACGAAACGTACCCGCTCTTTGAACAGACCGAACCCGTCGCAAAAAAGGGAGGGGGTCCCTCACCCGTTGGTTGAAATACGCGGCACAGCGCGCGTATTTTCCTGGTCACGGAGTCACCTGGGACTGCATATCGTCTCAGATCTCGCTCTCGTTGGTCCAACAACGCCAGCGACGCCGGACGAAGAGGTGCGTCTCGTCCCACACCGGTGCCATCCATCCCGCAGCATGTCCCACAGCATGTCGCCCATGTCCAAAGCTGGGAGGCCCGGGAGGTATCCGGACCTTGTTCAACGTGTTTGTTTTTGAAAAACCCACGGAGGGTGACAGGAGGGGGAACTATGAAAAGAAACACCCACATCACCCACCCTGGCAGGGAACTGCCGCTGCCCTTCGTGCCGGTGCCCAGTCCGGCGCCCAGCCCTTTCTCGCGCCGTGCCCCCGCGGAGGAGTCTGCGGATCCCATTGCGATCGTGACCGCGTACAAAAAGAACAGGCGGCGGCTGACAATATAAAGAACGGGCAGACGGCAAGTCGGAGAGGGGGAAAAGAACGATATAAAGAACGGCCCAAGTCCAAAACCACCCAACACCTCAGATTCGACGGAGTTTTGTTGTTCTTTTCCGGAGAAATCCACTGAGCGAAAGCTCCTCTTTTTGGCTGGGTGTCACAATATGGTTGCAATTTGGGGGTTTGATGGGGTTTGCTTCCTTTCAACCTGCAACGAACTGAAGAAAGCTTGAGATGGAGCGTGCTTTCTACTGCAAAGCCCAAATGGAATCCAATAGACCCATTCTTCAGCGCCTACCTACGAAGCAGTCGAGACTTAGCAGCGGAGCTGCTTCTGACTCGCCCCCGACCGGGACCGTGACCGGGCAGGTTCTACCTGTTCAGTACTCGAGAGCCACCAGAGACTCGGAGCGAACGCCACGCGAAGTACGGGAAGTACTTGGGCGAAGTAAGAGCGGCAGGGCCACGTGGGATTGGCGGGCCAGGGCCGCCCAGAATGTATTCTTTCTCCACTGAAAAGGCCCCCCGTTTGCAGATGGATTTGGCATAGCAAGAGAACCAACCCTCAGGCCATTGAGACCCACCGGTTCCCCTAATGTTGTGGAGACTCGATGGCATTTTTGCGACACGATGAATACTTCTGCCGAGCGTTCACCCAGCGACATGTCTGCGTATGGCGTACGCTCGTTCCGGTGGACGCTCGTCACGTGACAGTGGGGTCGCTCACACGATGCCGGGACCTCTTCGAGCTGAGGAAACGACGGCAGATTTGGGCCGAGACATCTTCAATGAGAAGCCAAGCAAGGTGGGAGCTGCCAGCTGGTGCAAAATCACGGCAGGCTCATAGACATCTCCCAACCTGACTTGGAACAGCCTGCACCAAAACAGAAGGAATGAGCATTCGGCGACGATGGCGACGTCGCGGCTGTGGCCCGAGAACCATGTTCAGACGTGTCCAAGGCATTAAGAATCTTACGATTAATAACCATTCTTTTTCCAAAAGCCTTGGTACAGACCACCTTGCTGTTCGTAGTACAGTAAGCAAGTATCTTAAGTTCCAGTGCCCACACCATCCCACACCTATATGACTCTGGTTTTGCAGCGGACTCTGGTGAAGGAAGCTTTCGCATGTTCGAGAGAACACTGCCATATCGCGGAAGCGGGGCTGTGGGTCCTGGATTTGGTGGGTCAGGATCAAAGCAAAGTAATGATTGATGTTGAGACCCTGGAAGTCCAAGACCATTTTTAAAGTGGTTGATCTGGTTTTGTCGTGTAAAACCCTTATATAGTAAAACAATGGTTGTTCGGTATTCAGGCTATCAAATAAATTGTGGTTCGACCTCTAGGGGAGATACAGGTGAGGTGGTGCTGTGCGCATCTTAGCACCGTGCTTCATCTTAGCACCGATATACAGCTGTTGCAGGAAGATGCAGCTGTTGCCGCCTCTATCAGGCGGGCGTTGTTTATCAATTGAGGGAAGATCACCTGTTGACCATATAGATACCTTTTTTGGCTACTGCCGCCCGCCACAGTCTTTGGTGACCACATTGATCCATGTCGATCAACTATCCCGAGTGCATGAGTGTTCCAGCTCTTTAGACCTACTTCTCCACGGCTCCCTCCTTTCTGCACTTGGCACGTCTCAAACATCATCAAACATCAAGAATCAACATCCCAAGCCGCAGCGCAGGACAGAGAATCCTTTGGGGAAGCAGGCCACGATTCATACCACCATGGGGGACATCGTCGTGAAGCTCTTCCACCAGGTGGGCGCGACGTTCACCCGGCGCCGTTGGGAGCGAGTTTGGAGCGGTTTGGGGCGAGTGAGTTTGAATGTTTTGGGCTCCTCCAAAAGGTGGCCAAAGAGGCTGCGTTTTTGTCCGTTTTGAGTCATCCGGGTTAGATTGGTCGAATGGTCTTTCTAATCCTTCTAGAAGCGGCAAGCGACATGCATCCTATATTTGCTTGCTCAGATTGCCTATGTAAGAGTCTTCCTAGAGCGCTTCTTGTCAGCTTCCGTCAGATGACATTCAAGATTTAAATTCTAATGATGAGCAATGGCCCTCTTTGAACGAAATCGAACTCTGAATCGCCTCAGAATTCCTTGAGGGGTCGGTTGATGGTGCCAATCTCTTTCCCATCATGATCCACTCGTTTTTGTTCAACGAGGATCCAGCCTTCAGACAAATCTTACCCTCCCTCAGACAATCATTTAAGCTGACAGGCCACTTGTAGAAGAACATTGTCTTCCAGGGGCCGAACTGTTCCACTTCCATGATTGTTTCGGGGAGTGTATCGTAATTATGATCACTTATCGTATTTCCGTATCTATGGGCATCACAGACATGATGTTGCCTCAAACTTTCTTGCGTTAGATACAGACAAAGTCCTTCTAAGAAGTTGCTCATTGCCATGGCTCAGAAGCAGGGTGCCATCTACCCCTGGTCAAAAGAAGCATCTTCTGTTTTGGCCCAGCAAGATCAAACTATGGCATGGCAGTTTTAAAAACTTGCTGATGCTGACAATCGGGGCCTCAATCCCTCAATCCCTAAAGCCCTCAGCACCATGTCTATGGAGCTTTTTAAAATCTATTCAGCTCTATGGCGCAGAAGCGCAGGGACCTGACAAGTCCCTGCAGTCACAGATCCATCCAGCTTTCTCAGGAGTGTCCGAAGTCGGTGGAGAATTTCACGGTGCATTCCAAGAATGGCTATTACGCAGCCATCTGAGTGAGCAATGCAAACATCTAGCCTGAGTGTTTCGGTGAAGCGTAGTGCACTATAGTGGGATGTGAAAATTCATGCTTGGGGTGTCAGTGATTTTGAATAGTCGTGCGACATGGTGCAAGTACACTCCAGCGTGCACTTGCTCTGGAGATGTAAAGAAGACTTTCACTTCAAATTCTTGCTATCTGTGACCTAAGCCGCTAGCGTTTCACTTGAATATCGGCACCAGCAAAACACAGTTCAACATGTTCATCATTGTTCAAAGAGCATCAAGGCCACATGATCGCTCGGGTGGATCATCTACGCAAAAGATCACCCTCCCTCCAACAGACATGGAAGTGGAACATGGCCCAGAAAGGAAGACGGTTTTCATCTACTAACAGGCCGTCTTCCACTGGGAGGGCACTATGTATCACTGTTTTTTGGGGAAAGGTATACTAACCATGATCCATTGTTCCTGATGATATGATGTAATATGACATCTACTGTATCATCTATGTAACGGTCCAGCTGTCTGAGGACAATATCATCTTCCACCGAGTCATTCAGGCCCATGTCGGTGTTGATGTTGATCTTCCAAGCCGAAACACCCGAGGCACTGTTTGAAAGACTTCGGCGATCGTGTCCGGCGATTCCTGAAACGAAGGAAGACACCGAAACTCGATCGAGCTTCGAGGATAGGCACGAAGATAGTTTTGCCAGAGTCAGATCCACTGAAATTCACATCGACCATCTGTGAAACCGCATCTTTGGGGAAGCATGTTCAATCACCCCCCAGATTTTGCCCAGTCTCCGCCCCGTAGCGGGTGCCGCTCGGCCACGGTGGCCTCATGGCCCGAAGACTCGGACGCCGGTGGCCAGGGCTTCATGATCCAGACGGGTGACCCCCAGGGCGATGGCACCGGCGGAGAGAGCATTTGGGGCGGCGAGTTCGAGGAGCGCGACCGAAGAAGACGCGACGCCCGTTGGCGAGGGTCGAACCCGGAGGATCTGAAGGTTTTGGGTGCAAAGCATTTGGCGCTTTTTTTCAACGAAACGGGGAGGGAAGGAGAAGGGGATTCGGATGGTTTGGCTCAGAAACTTCTAGACGCTCCAAACTGGGGGACCTGTGTTTTTGAAGAGAAAGGGGCCGAAGCCAATGTACTTCAAAGAACTGTGAGGTGCAGGGTTCCCAACTCTAGTTGCTGAGATTGGCCTTCGCAGGTAGGACTCCAACTTCCCTGCCGTTTGGTCGCAGGATGTAGCAGGTGTCCTTGCCATCCTGAAATTGCCGTCTCATGCAGCCTCCATGGCATGCAGCCTTTGACGATCTTTGACGTACCATCCGAACCAACCAGTCGACGAACCTGCGACCCACTGGTGTGGACGTCCCCCACGGCCCCCTGACCGCGGGAGACCGCGGTCTCACCGGGTTTCGACCGCGCGCGGTCGCGCCGCCACATCGGAGCGACGGCGACCGGTGCCAGGATGAGTTCCACCGGAACTTGAAGCACGACCGGCCCTTTACCCTCTCCATGGCCAATGCAGGGTCCAGCCGACCTGTATGAAGAATCGTTTTCTTTTTTGAAGGAACGAGATGCCGGGTCACGTGTTTCATGGGGGCCCACCCGTGGCGACCGAGCTCATGGCGGAAAGTGCACCGAGCTCATGGTTACTCGTTCAGGAGGCATTGGTTTCCAGGGTGAACGAAAGTACTCGTGGACGAAATCGTGCACCACAAAGAATTCACACCCTAAGGATTGACAGTGCTGGATAGAGAGGCCTGTGGAAACGAGTGCTGCTGGTTTGTGTGGCATGGACACTGAACAGATGCGCGGACAGCATGTCGAGGTGTTGTTCAGTGTTGGACGTGGGGCAAACAAAGCACGCCCGGATGCGTCATCACAACGTTTCAAGCAAAAGAGCTAGATGTGCAAAAAAGACAGAAGGAGAGATGCTAATATGCTACAAGTCACAAGCATAGACATATATAGAAATCCTTAGATTAGACAACACATGTGGGCAGTTCGGGTGGCGGGAGTACTAGAATTAGCCACCCGAGTCTTGGAGATATCAATAAATTTGAGAGAAAGGATGTGGGCCAATCGTCCTAGTAGCAACCACCCCCTGAAGCGTGGTGCTTTTGGAGAGTGCTTATGAGTGTTTCCTACTGTATAGAGATGTATAGAGTATGGACCTGTTTTCTCGTTCATATTGTACACAAACTTGTTTTGACATGTGTTAAGCAATGTACAAGCCCAGTCCGTTCCTGGATCTCGTTGAACCGGAAGCGAAGTACACCCGAGCCAGGTTGATGCTCCAGGTAGTTCATTTGGTTCATCTTCAGGGTCGCTGGGTTTGGACCCCCTAGATGAGTCACCAATGAAGGAATTGGTTTGGGTTTAGTGTTGTGAGGATTTCAGTCATCAGAAAAACTGAACAACTAGCACTCGGTGAACTACCTTTGGCGAAGATAGATGAACTCTTCCACAGATGCACTGTGGGATGACTTTGGGCTTCCCATTTCGCGCACAAAAGGCTTTATGTGGGGAACTGAACAGCAGCCTTTCCCTGCCTATTGTGTCCACCGTGGGCGACAGAGACTCCACCATTTTTCCCATGCAACATGGAACAACGCATCAGCACCTGATACTTTCCAGATGTTTGTTGAAGAACTGGCCCGGAAACATGTGGAGATCAGGATGTTCCATCTCTGCTTCAGGACATGCTCTCAAAAACCAAGAAAGATTTCGACTCATCAAGCACCCTCCGCCATCGCCAGGCCCAACACCAATGGCTCCCAGTTCTTTGCACGCTGCCCCAGAAGCAGGAATTGCTGGAGAAAAGACTCATAGACGCCCAAAATTTAACACGGATTCCAATACATTTTTTGGCTATTTCTGCTGGCGGAACACTATGAAGTGGTCTCCATCTTGTCAAACGGGACTCTGCGGATGCTGCTTACATGTACGTCGTGCTGGTGATCAGCACCGGTGAGCACTTCGTGTTTGTTTGGGTGGAACACTTGTGAATCTTCACCACAGAACACTACTGCCACTAATGTACTTTTGATTAATACATGATATAGTTTGGACACTGTATGTACTTTATTCATCAACAACCTACATTATTAGCATCCAATCTCTCACCAGTAGCCTCACAGGTCTCGTGATGGACTCCGACTTGACACAGGGAAGACATGGACAAAGTCACCAGAAAGCCATGGTCTTTGGCAAAATTCATGGTAGGGAATTTATGTTGACATGTGAGAATGCATGGTTTGTGAGAGCCCATGTCGGACAGGAGGGAGTGTAGTGTGGTCATCATCTTCCAACCAGGTGACCACTGTGCCATGCCCATGGCTCGATGGCAAGCACACGGTCTTCGGCCGCGTTCTACAGGGCATGGACGTGGCAGGGGCCCTAGAGGGCGCTGGAGGGCCGGAGTGGGCCCTGTGGCTCAAGTTCGCCAACGAAACATGCGAACATTCGTTTCTCGAAGTTGATTCTTCCGGAATGACCACAGTGATCACTTTTGATGCTTTACTTGTTGTATGGATGGAGAAAACAGAGCATAGAATGCCCCCGCACAGGCTTGATGACAGGTGGGCTTAGAACCTGAAAGCCTGCAATTGAGCCCAATTTGGTTTGGATTTGAGCGCGGATCCGGCTCTCTTCTGTCCCGCTCAAAAATAACATCTTGCCTTGAGGTTCAAAACATTGAGAAGACCCAGACCAACTGCGATGACAGGCTGTTGCTGTAATTTGCGACGATTCTTTCACGCTGAATGTTTGGTGATAAGATATGCATGTTCTTGACCTGTGCAAATGTGGAATTTCTGGTATTGAAGGCCTTTGGTCGACATCAAAATCATGACCATCAAGATCATCACCTAAATAAACCTATGAATAAATTCAAGAATCAAGAATGAATGATTTTACGAAGGCAAGCCGATAGGCTAGGCTGAAGTTTATGCGAGGTGTGGGAGGGCAGACGCGACTTTGTATCAACATTTAAGTTTTGGCGGGGAAAATTTTGGTGAGTTCGTGATGCAAACGATGTAAGATAAAGCTGTTTCGGCATCACTTGCATCATCAAGTTGGGATCATCAGGAGCAACTTTCTTTTGATGAAAATCGGACGCGTGGGCTTTGATGACCAACAGCGTTTAATACATTTTAATACAATGCTTTTGGACGCTAAGCCTGACTCCGGTTAAAGGGAAGGGACGGTATTGAATTTTTATAGAAAATTATATACATTTTGCGTTATTAAACCTATAAAGAAACACAATAAATAAATATAATATTCTATTTTAAAGAAGAAACTATTTTTTACTTTATTGTTTAAATATATATTATATATTATTTGTATTTATTAATATTTTATATATATATATATATATATTATTCATTGATTTTTTTTTTAGTTTAAATTTATTTGAATTATTGAAACTTTGAGAAATAAATGAAGATTGCATGGGATATGAAATAATACGTATTTCGTTTTGGATTTTATATATGTATTTGAATATAATAATTTGGTTTTTATAATTATATCGAATTGATTTTTGATTTATTTAGAATTTTGATTTTGAAATTAAATATATATTGATTTTGATTTAGACTCCGTCGTTTTAATAATTTATTTAATTTTTTGATTTCGTTTATTTAGGATGGCGAATTTTAAATAGAATTTATTTTAAATCTCGAAGGATTGATATAATAAAAACTAAATCGATGATTTAAATTAGCTTTTGATAATTGAACGATGGTAAAAATCTTTTAATTTTTTTTTTTGCTTTATAATGTTTTTTAATTTACGTATTAACTTCCGCAATGTTTACGTTATTAATATGTTCGTTTATGCGGTGATGTTATTTTTCTTAGGGTTTATGTAACGATTTTATTATCGGTTGATAGGTGAATATTTTTTATTCTTATTTGTTAGGTGAGGGTAATTACAATCGATTTTAGAAAATGAATCGCTAGATTATAAAGGGAAACATGCACTAAATAACGGTGGGCATTCTCGGATCTTAATCGTAAGCTTTAGATCGCAATGGTCACTCCCGGGAATCACTCGAAATAAATTAATTTATATTTTGCTTATATGATTCATTTGGTGGAACCCGCTGCTTCTTTTTGTTAGCCATCGGGATTAAGCAGTTGGAACGAGGATTACACTGCGCTTTGTGCTTGAAAAGTGCATAGCTGCTTGCTTTGGTTTCTTTAGAAAAAACCTTTGGTGGACGTAAGCAAAGGGCTTGCGCGGGACTTACGCGGAATTCGTGCGGTCGTGGGCCACTCGACCCCTGTAAACAAGGCCTTTGAGAAATTGAGTCCACAACCCTTTTCTGCTTGCAATGTTTCTCAGCAAAAAAGAAAATATTGGCTGGGTAACTAGAAGACTCAAAATTGCTTGCGCACCTCTTACGCATCGAATGTCTCAAGCTTGACTTCCACCGAACCTTACGCAACCCTTACGCCGTGCAGATTTTAGCTTGCGCGACAATCTTGCAATTTAATCGGATCATGTGGTTTTTGCATTCAATTCTTTTATTCGCCATCTTGTTTGATTCGCAGAGCACAATCCTTGAAGTTCGAAGATCCCGAAGATTTGATCCTTGGCCATCCTTGACCTTAGATTCAAAAAGATTGTCATTAATACTAATAGTCATTGGAATTATATAAATTGGGATTAAAAGGCCGAATGTTTGCTTCCCAACAAGATGGATCCTTTGAATTCAATTGCCCTGCATAAGATGCTGCAGACGGTTCGATTATCTTAACGGCCGGACATCATCTCCAGATTTGCAGCCATGAAACCATTACCCAAGGACAAAGGAACCGACGATATATCGATCTCGATTCCATGAGGCTGGACCTGTCCATTCGAAGCCAGGAGAGCAACGACATGCACCGCTTGGCCACTCAGTTGTGCGGGAATGGAATCACTTAGTTGGTTTTGATGCGGCATCGTCCGACGAATTTTCAAGACAATCCATTCGCAATGGCAGTCAATCATCCGAAAGCTCCGGAAATGATTCGACAGCTGGTTCATCTCAAGCTGCTGCTGAATCCCGATAATCTTTGTTATATTCTGAGCGTGCTTCGATCGCAGTTTTGGGCTTCGTTGATGCAAGATGATTTTGATATCATATTCTAGGGGGCGCTGGGCGGAAGGCCTGATTGTACTTCTGACACATGGAGGGGAACCGCTTGTGCAGATCTTTTACAGGCTTTGCTTGGGGAGCTCTTGGACCCTTGGTTTATTCGCCGAGAGCTTGCAGCGCAATAAGACGCTGCAGAGTTTGTAGGTTGGCTTCAACAGCAGCTATTTGTTGGTTGTCTTCATTCCGGTTGGCAAAAAACGCTTTTTAACCTGAATGGAGGATTAGGGTTTATTGCTAGCACCGCTGCTTCTCCGTACAGCTCGGCCGCAAAAATACATACTTCAGAATTGGATAATCCGATCCACCTATTAATAAATATAGGTCCCCCCCTAATAAGATAAATTCGGTCGCATTTTTCTAATAGGGGATCCTTGAAGTCTCGGAGATCCAAAATAGGATCACCTAGGAAGAATTTGAAAAAACATATATAGAAAAAAATTGTTTAAATTCCTTTATCAAATTCGTATCAAAAATTTAAATAATCTCTAGATTGAAGGGTTTTTGTCCCCCTACAAAAATCTTTATTAGAATATTGATTCTTCATTAGACTAACAACCAAAATTGTCGCAAGGTGATGTCGCCCTGCCATGCAATTTTGCATGACCTCGGCGGTTGGAAAATTTTAGGGGAACCTAATTAAACAAATTACCACCAAAATCGACCATGTTGGTAATTTAGTAACGGTTTTTGACAGGACGGTAATTTAAATGCAAAAATATCCCGAATTTTTTAATTGGACAATATATATTAATAGGTATTCGGGATTAAATGAATGGTTTGACCAATAATCCTTCATATGTGCCTTGTTGCAGCCACACCCACAGATATGCCTCCAAATCGATAAATATCAAATTTTGGAAATCAGGTTTTGTGAACCCATACTTTGGGATCGTGATGAGATCCTCATGCCGATCTTTGATCACAATGCAAGGCTTGGACACTTCATGACATAGTTATAAAGTTATCTCCACACTGCTGCACAGAGGGGAAAGGCCTAACAACGGCCACTACGTTGCTATGTTCACATTCCTTGATTATCTGATGATTGATGATGATAACCAAGCTTGGACACTCCCAGTGGTCGACCATGTCACTTACGATGACAGCTATCTGCTATGACTTATACATGCAAGCTCCTCAAGAGCCACCGGTGGCGATTGCCTGTTTGTAGCACCGTCAACCGAGAGGTCGTGCCAGACCTTCTAGGAGCTGCTTTTAATGGATAACTCATTTTGATTTTGCAAGAGTCGACGCGGATTTGGGCCATGAGCTGTTCGCGAAACAGCCGCCGTGGATTGTCTTCCACGTGCGCAGCCCTTGACGGACAACCTGAACGACTATCGAATAATGAAATTAAATGATCAATAATATTTTGGATTTTCAAATTTTTTTAGATATTCTATATTGGAAGGGGAAGGAATTCGGTCTTCGTATTAATTAATTTGATATTTTTAGATATTCTTTAAAATTATATATATTTATTGATCTCTGTTAATATTTATATAAATATATTTTGAATGAATGTAAATTGGGACTTATATTTGATATATTATATGAGATATTATTGATATATTATTAATTATGTATATATTTAAAGAATATCTATAATGATTTCATTATATTTATAATATAATTGGATATTTTTCGGTATTTGCATTTATTTAAAATTTATATTAATAATTAATTTAATTTATATATATTATATAATATATATTTTTATATAAGACATTATTTTATGAATTCGATTTTAAATATTTATTAATATTGAATTAATATTATGTTATTTAATTTTTTTTTCGACATATAAATATTTCATAAATAAATATATTAGAATTCATATATTATAAATATTAATGAATAATTTAATCGAAATATATCCTATAGATATTTATTTCTCAAATGGCATATAGAAATATTAAATATATATATATATAATATTTTATAATGTAAATTTTAATAAACAAAATATGTAATTGAAATTAATTAATTAAATTAAATTATAGAAATAATACTATATAATTTTTAGTTATATATATATATAAATATTTATATCTATATAATATATTTAAATATATATTTTTCTCAATATCTATACATATCGATATTTTTCAATATTTCAAATAATATCAATAAATATATTTATTTATGCAATATTTAAGAATATATTATTAAATATTATTGGGAAATTCATTAATATATATAAAGGATAATTTTAATTAAATAGATAAACAATATAATATATAACCGGGATTATTTTAATAAAATATTCATATATGTATATATACTAATATATATACAATACATAATTAAATATTTATTGAAATTTAATACATTATACCCAAATTAATTGCATTAATTCGCAATCTTCAAATAAATAATCATAAAATAATTCAATATAAATGGAATAAGGCAGAGATTGAATTCTGCAACCTTGGGAATATATATTGCATACGGCAAGGCTATACTATGGGAATATGATTTTGATTCGCATCAGCTCCTAGGGGCCCAGATTTCCTTTAAAATATAATTGGATAGATATTGTTTTTTTTTGAAATAGATAATATATATTATTTATATAGATATCAATTCCTGAGGGTCAAATTTCTAATCGAATCAAATCCTATTAAAATAAACGGATATATGCCATCTATTCCATATTCAATATATATAGACGCGATTTTGAGGGTTATAAAATGAAATTAAAATATATATGAAAATCATTATCGT